GAACATACCAAGAAAATCACTATTCAAGCTTAGAATGGCGTATGGACTATCTTGAGTCGGTCCTTTGAGCCACATATGCACCAAACCAAACCATCATTTCAATTAATTAGAATGGCATGTGGACTAGCAATAAGGGCACCAGTAACCAGTAATTATTTCAATTGCGCTTTTTCTCGTATGCATGTGTTATAATTATGCACTTGAAAAAATGTACAAAGAAAATTAACGTACTAGTAACAACAGCGTAATTGTTACATCGACGAAGAACTAACTTGTACAAGTAAAAACAAATTATATTTCAATATATTTCTTCACAAAGCATGAAATATTTCTGAAACATTATTATCGGGAATAATATTATTTTGCAAGATTGAAATATTGGAATAATATCAATGTAACATCTATGAAATATTACAATTATAATAATTCTTGATGTTTTAGCAATAGTTTACTACAGGAAAAATGTAATAAAAAAAATTTGTAACGTGCAAATGTTCACTCGATTATTTTATTCGAAGAAAGAAAAAGAAAACAATTATAAATCGAAGTATAATAGCAAATTTAAAAATATGTATAGATTACAAAATAAAAATCGAAACCGATTGAGAACAAGAACGTTATCACAAAAGCTTCTTTCCATGATATTAAAAAAGCATAAAAGTTTAAACAAGTATTAAGTAGAACTTTTATATGATAGCGCTTAACAATTGTTATCTTGTATATATAGTGATAGTACTAGATATATCTTCAATTTTTTTAATTATATATATATATATATATATTATATGTATATGTAAATAAAAATAATATAAAACTATGTAAAATACTAGTAAAATACTATAAAAAAGAATATAAATATGTTTTTAAAAAATACAAATTTAAGTTTAAATGTAAATTTTTTATTTTTAAAAACTAAATAAACTTGTTTATTTTGAAATTGATAATTTTGCAAGACAAAATATATATGATTTCTAATATATATATATAATATATATATATATATATATATATATATATATATATAGAAATTATTTATATTCTAATATATTCTAATATATAATTATTCTAAAAAATATATTATATAATATATATTAAAATAATTATATATTAGATCTAATATATTATTATTCTAATATATATATTTATATATACAGATGAAGGAATAAATTCGAAGACAAAAATCTGGTATTTTCACCGTTAAGATTTTTTATTCATGTATTTAACTTTAATCCTGTAAATGTTTTGTTAGGTGCATATTCTGTGTGTGTAAAATCTAAACATTTATATATCTGACACGAATGTTTTAATAATTAAAACGTTAAAAAACTTTCAAAAATTCATAAAACTTTATTTAATATTCCATATTAAAGAAACAACATTAGTTCTCATTTTTTAAATATATTTTTTAGAGAAATTCTTCCACTAAACAGGTAACAAGATATCATTTTTAAGAATCGCTCGGACATTTAATGTTCGGAATTTACAAGATTAGGATTAATAACTCTAAACTATTATTATTAACAAATTAAGTTTATTTTGATCAAGAGAGAATTTCTATTATTTACTTTATATAATATATATATATTATTATTATTATTAATTCTTTTTACAGTAAACACAGATCGAGGAAAATGCGAGCAAAGCAGCAACTAAGAAATCTTTGGATTTGCTATTGCTAAGAAAATGCTGCGAACAAATAATTGCACGAAGAAATTTCTGCTCAAAGCAGTTATTTTGCGGGGAACGTTTTCGAGAGTCGAGGTCATTCGCGTTCTCTTTCACTTGCAACCTTTCATCTGCGTCTGCGGTACATAAAATAAGCGTAAGATACGCCGGCGCGTCAGACGGTAAGTGAGAAAATTCGTTTTGTATTTTCAACACGATCTTATATCTGCATAAGATCACATGAATTCCACGAAAACAAACAACGTGACGCGTTGAATCGTATCGGTTGAATCTCTTCAAGGCGAGTTGTTTTTTTTCATCGACGATACGGAGAACATAGAAGATAAGGGACAAACAAACAAAGAAGTTCTGTCCGATGAGCAGGTTATCTGCCGTTGTCAGTGCGGAAGAGATGAATTTTTTTGTCAGCGACAACAGCCACGATCGGCAACGGCTCATTGTACGTCATGGTGGCAAGAAAAAGGAGGATTATACGTGCAGAGAAGGCCGGCCAGGCGGGAGGGGTCGATAAGAGAAATCAAACCGGGCGTGCTACGTGGAATCGTGAAAGTGAAGGTACGCGGCTGCCGCTACCTGCGGGATAGGCCCGATGAAAACCTGTTGGTCGCCGCTAATCCCCGCCGATCTCTCACCAGTCTTGTGACGTGGATCGCCGTATCGAGAAATTTGTCGAGAAACAGACACGGTGATAAACACACGGCGAGTGATAAAGAGAGATACGTTGTTTCCTGTTGTTTTGTACACAGTTCGTCAAGTCAACAAGTGTCAAAACACACACAGACAGTTTTAAATAATGGAGCATCTGAAAAAGAAACTGAGCAAATCCAATCAGGAACATCTGCTCAGATTTTGGGAAGAACTGACGGACGAGGACAGGAACCAGCTGGAAAATGATATAAACGAATTGAATCTGCAAGAAACAACAACTTACTTCAAGAAAGCTATGGAATCCTCTCAACGCGTTGGTCAGAACGTGCTTGATGACAAAGTGCAAGCAATAGACGACAGAAAAATTGCATCTGTCAAAACATCAACGAAAGAAGAATTGAAGAAATATCAAGCATTGGGTTTGAAAGAAGTTGCTGAGGGTCGTGTGGCTGTGGTATTGTTGTCAGGTGGTCAAGGCACACGTTTGGGTGTGAACTATCCTAAAGGAATGTATGACGTTGGCTTGCCATCGCGCAAAACGCTCTTTCAATTGCAGGTGGAAAGAATACTTTGTTTGCAGAATATGGCGAAGCAACGATACGGAAAATACGGAGAGATAACTTGGTATGTGTTGTGTGATACATCATTATTGAATTAGATAAAAAGAAATGAGAAAAATTGATATTTTATATTATGAATTTTCTTCTTCTCAGGTACATTCTTACCAGTGAGGCAACTCACGAAGCAACTGTCACATATCTGAGCGAACACAAATACTTTGGTTTAAAAGAAAGCAATGTCAAAGCTTTCAAACAAAGTATGCTGCCGTGCTTTACGTTGGACGGAAAAATTATTCTGGACAAGAAGCATCGCGTTTCCAAAGCGCCTGATGGCAATGGCGGATTGTATCGCGCATTGAAAAATCAAGGAATACTGAAAGATATGGAGCAGCGCGGCATTCGAAGCGTTCACGCACATTCCGTGGACAACATATTGATAAAAGTAGCGGATCCGATATTTATAGGATATTGCTTGCATTCTGAAGCGGACTGCGGGGTTAAAGTTATCGAGAAATCTTCTCCAACCGAGGCAGTCGGCGTAGTTTGCAAGGTACGTGAAGTTTTTATTTTATGATAGATTAAATTTTATAAACGTCTCAAAAATTTAGATATTGTTAGTAATGTCTTTATTTCGCCTGATACAGGTGGATGATCATTACCAAGTGGTCGAATATAGCGAGATCTCGAAGTCGACTTCGGAACTTCGTCATGCCGACGGGCAACTGGTGTACAACGCCGCTAACATATGCAATCATTACTTCACAATTGATTTTCTGAAAAATATTGCAGATTTTCACGAAGATGATTTGATCTTGCATGTGGCAAGAAAAAAGATTCCGTATGTTAACGATAAGGGAGAGAGGATTTCGGCTCCAAAAAGTCCGAATGGCATCAAAATAGAAAAATTCGTATTCGACGTGTTTCCCTTCGCCAAGAATTTCACTGTGTGGCAGGGAACTCGTGAGGAGGAGTTCAGTCCGTTGAAAAATTCCGATCCCGTTGGTCAGGATTGTCCGTGCACCGCTCGCCGCGATCTGCTAAATTTGCATAAGAAATGGCTGCTCGACGCGGGCGCAAAAAACGTCAGCGGCGACGTTGAGATCTGTCCTTTGCTTTCGTACGCGGGAGAGAATCTTGATCAGCTTGCGAATAACCAGTCTTTTGTAGGACCACAAATCCTCGAGTAAAAAATAATGACAAAAATTTCACCAGACTACGATAGCCACGATATCTCGGACGATATAGAAACGCAAAGTAACGTTTACATTTCTGTGATTAAATAAAAACTAAACATAGATCTTAATATTTTGTTTATATATAATAAACTTATATATATATATATATATATATATTTGTATAATTTTTATGTCACTGGTTTTAAGACTATATATATATATATATTACTCACACACACGAATATTCGATATATTGATTATAAGCAACAATGTTAATACTCGTGCTTACAATGACGAGGTTTGTTATATGGATCAAATAAATGACTATGCGCAAGTAATAAGTATACCAGTATATACAGGGTGTCTCAGAATTGCCGTACAATCTTTCGTAGGCAGGTAGAAGGAGTAAAACTGAGTCGAAAAGTCCTGAACCATTTTTCTCTATTATTTATAATAAAGGAGTAAATTATTGAGTAAATCAGGCCAATCAGCGCAGACCTTTAGCCAGACGCACGTCAGTGAGCCGCGCGCCTGGTGTGTGTGTGAGCGCTCACTGACGTGTGCCTGGCTAAAGATCTGCGCTGATTGGCCTGATTTACTCAATAATTTACTCCTTTATTATAAATAATAGAAAAAAAATGGACTTTTCGACTCAGTTTTACTCCTTCTACCTGCCTACGAGAGATTGTACGGCAATTCTGGGACACCCTGTATACATACCACCTGCGATGTATTGTTTTAACTTCTTCTTGTGGCGTGAATGTTTTAGCACACACATATTCTACGAATCCATTTGAATAATTACACCTGCGTACAGGCGAATATGGACTCGTATAATTTTGAAGTGCATATCATAGACAACTCAACGGTTGAGAGATCATCACTTATGATAGGAGTATTCTTCAAAATCTGATGCGGTTCCAAAAGTATGATCCAATCAGAAGTGATTATCTCTCAACCGTTGTGCAACTGTTGAGTTGTCTGAACGCACCCATTGTATACGACCTGTTCTACAATACAGTCGTAAGTCGTAAGAAATTGACCAATCACAATCGATTATTCTTCTGTAATTGGTCTGTGATTGGTCAATTTCTTACGACTTACGACTTACGACTGTATTGTAGAACAGGCCTACATAATGTGTACTATAGATAAATGCGCGCATATGCATGAAACGGAATATATCCTAAGAGTAGTGACCACAGACTTCTATATACTACAATAGACCGCTAGCTCGCGTGATTTCAGCGTAGATAATGGCTACAAAATCTATGTACAATGGGGGTACTGTGGAATGCGGGTTTTATTGGTTGATTTTGACGATAAGGAGAGTTCATCCAATCATTGTCTATATACTTATGTACGTGCGCGACGATGCATGCGCAGATAGCAATTCAGCAGTTCAGCATAGTGAAGGTTATATGGCGGTTGACGGCATAAAGCACACATTAAAAGAAACAAAAACCAATATGCCAAAATATTGTTGTGTTTTTCGCTGCCGAAATAAGGCAGACAAAGAAAAAAACCTTACAACTCAATCAGCTGTCAAACCATAGACGTATAAGAAATAGACTGCGCGTGTGAGAGGGNAAGTGAGTCAAACTTCGGAGTGAGACAGATGCTTTCACCCGAGTCTCTGTCTCTGTCTTTCAGCACCTGGAGTGGGGACTCCCCACTCGGAAGACAACTCCATAGAATGTCTATGCTGTCAATCGCCTACTGTCGCCCCTTCATCGCTCGATGCTCCTCTATTGCCCCACTACGCTATTTCTCATTCCTACTACTTTTCTTGTCCGCCAATCACCGCGTCACTAAACAAGGATAGAGACTCGGGTGAAAGCATCTATCCTCGTCCGAAGTTTGACCATTCTTTCTGCACAGAAAAGATACGAGACGCGCAGTCTATTTCTTATATGCTATGTGTCAAACATGACGGCCATCTTGCATTCTTCAGTACTCCCATCTTCCCCCTCCATGACGACTTAAGTACATAGATTTTGTAGCCAGCCGTACATAAGAAGCTAGCGGTCTAGTATACTATAGAAGTCTGTGGTAGTGACTAGTTGACGCGCTTACCGCTAGTATAATTAATTTTAAATGGAGCATTTTTATTACCACATGCAAAAATAATATATTTCGTATTTAACTTTTTTGAATAATTTCCACTTATATTAAGACATGTTGATGATCTCACGCAAAAAACATTTTTGTGTAATATTAAAAATTATTTTTTAACACATAGAAGATTACATTAAAGAAGTTTAACATTAAAAAATACGGTAATTATTTAGATTAGGGGCTTTCTCATCGAGTTTAATGAGCTTGAAATATGTTGTTAAGGACAGAATGTTGCCCTTTTTTATTATTAGAATCGTGTGAGCTCACGGACGCGTTCTCGCTTGTGGGCATATCCCCACCGCCTCGACAGAACCTACCTACCGAGTAGAGAAGATTGGGTGGAGCGGACGGACGATTTCCTCTTGTCCCTCGCGTCTGTTAGCTTGTGGGTAGAGCGAATTCTTGTGAGCTGTCAATAGTACGATCCACGCATTGTAAAGAATACGTCGTGTAAAACACATCTTAACCTTTTCGCTCCGGCACTGGTCCATATATGGACCAGCAAGAAAAGCGAACGTAATAGATGTTTATAAGGTCAATTTAATGCACTAAATTTAGGAAAAAAATTGAAAAAAATCCTGGTTACTTCTTTGACCTTTAAAATTAACTTTGAAGGGGGGGGGTAGCAGGTTATTATTAACTTTTTCAGCTAAAATGCGAGGTCAATTTTAAAGGAAAAATCTCCGGAGCGAAAAGGTTAAAGGAATTATTGTTTCTTACTTACTAACAATCCACAAATTGCCTAATATTATATAACATAACAAATCCAAAACTTCCATGTATCTTTTCGATCATGCGAACAGCGATAGTACTTTTTCAATAACATAATTTACTAAGATTTTCACTATTTCGCAATTGTTGTAAATACAATAGAATATTCCAAAGTAAAAGAGACACACCGTCGTGATATGGACAACATGCATTCTGAAAAAAAGGTGTCAACTATGAAGTACAATCAAAACAAGTGTCCAGACTGTTGCGCATTTAAGGACAAAGCACATATCTTGATCAAGAGACAAAAATGTCAACATCGTTAAATTTTTCTCCTTTTCTTGATATTATTTATTCAAAACCAGAGAATGTTTAGTTTCTTCTTAAGAAGACGTCACTGAGAAAACAAATTTTATAGAGCTCGACAAATGTAACTTAAAAGTAAATGTAATGCCAGAAATACTCACATTTTTTGGTGACGACGGGCTTTAAGCAAAGTAAATATATCTTCCTTCATACAGTATTGCCGTAATCCAAGAATAATGTCCTTAATGTATTTGTCTTCATCAAAATGACGAATTGCATAAGGAAATATTTTCTGATCTGCTGGTAATTGTTTGTCAGCCATAGCAATCGCCTTATCGTTACAAAATTTCCAATTCCTCGTGGTAAAGTATTGCAATACTTCAAGCCCGGATGAAATTCGCTTTTGAATTCTGACCATACTATTCGCGAAAGGATATAAAAAAAAACAAAACAAACATAAAAATATCAAAATTTTCTTACATAAGCATATGATATTTTACAGTAGGATTTCAATAATTTCGAGCGCATGAAACTGATTTTTTCTAGAAAGTATTATTTTTCTAGAAAAATTATTTTTTTTCTTTCAGTTAGCAATCACCTGATAAGAAGATACAAAAGATATGTGTTTCTCTTTCTCTTATGGCTAGTCCACAATGAAGGTTAAAAGGCTGTAGGAGTAGAGAGTAAACTATTTTTCGGTCAAGAAACGACGGGAATAACGAAATGGACAATTCCCATTTCGCACTGCCTACTGCCTTACTTTTAGCCAATGAAAGACGTGTGTTAAAAAACGCGAAATAATTACTTGTATAGACAAAAATAAAAGAACTCCAAGAACCTTATTCCTTACTCTATACTGCCTACTCCCATTGTAGACTAGCCATTAGAATAGAAGTAGACTGCGCATTCTATTTTTGCGCAGTTACTCAAGAATATTATTCTTAAGAAATTTATTACTAACGGGAAAAACTATTGGCTCGCTCATAATTGAGAAGTGAAAATTGTAATGCTTAAAATTGGCAGAGTATTACTGTATGTAAGTTTATGTAATACAGGGTGATTCAGAACAACCCGTTATCTTTGAAAATACATATTCTTGACTAAATTCTACGACAACATTTTATTTGGCAAAATTTTGTCTGACGCTTACTTTTTGAGTTACTAATAAAAATAGTTGACGTACCATGAGTCGGATTTAAAAGGTAGGCAGGGGCGGCGCAACTCACCGTGATTGACAGTGATTTATGTGATGCACGGATTAAATGATACAAATTGCAAATGAGTAAATAAATAAGTAAGAGAAAAAAAGAGAGAGAGAGAGAGACAGAAAAAGATACAGAAACAATGCGTAGCGATCAGCTGATCGCGTCAGGCACCACACGTAATCGCCCGCGTCTCTGACGGTGAGTTGCGCCGTCCCTGCCTACCTCTTGCATCCGACTTGTGGTAAGTCAACTATTTTTATTAATAACTCAAAAAGTAAGCTTCAGACAAAATTTTGCCAAATAAAAAGTTGTCTTAGAATTTAGTCAAGAATATGTATTTTCAAGGATAACGGGTTGTTCTGGATCACCCTGTAGATGAACAAACATTTTATTAAAATATATAAAACGATACTTGAAAAACTTACAATCTCTTCTGTCCAAATATCAGCATTAGAAAGTCGATGAAATATGCAGGAATGATGTGAAAGAAAAAAACAAATAAGTTGTGCACAAATTTGTTGGTACGTATAATGTTACCCGGATACCAAACCTGTCCTTCAAAAGGATAATCATAAGTGACTTTCCTGCATTTCTGTAACATTTCACCCCATGTAATGGGTCTTATATTTCCCTGCGTTAGGTTGTACACAGGTATGCTTTTTGATCTGTTGACATCAATAATTTTAATTTATATGTTGTTTAGTTGCACTATAAAATAGAAAAACATGTATTAAAATTAAATAGAAGTATGTACTTTATTTTGCTGGTACCACTTAAATATGACAAAACAATTAATGCATTAATTGCAATGTCAACTGGAATAATTTCGGCATAATATGTTGGTATGCAGTGCATCGATCTAATAACACCTTTGCCTGCGCCGACAAGAATGCCTCCAACTCCGTTTAAAGTATCAATCCATCCCGGGACTGGCTCCAATAAAATGGGAAGTACTGCGCAGTATAAACATTTTTTAATGTTATTTTTTATATTTTCTTGCGAACTATTGGTTTTTATAGCTGGTATTAAACATTGCGATAATTACCGATAGATGGTCTAACAATAATACACGAAAGATTAGGGTATTCATTGGCCACCAATGTTTCGGTAAGACGTTTTGAATACGTGTAACAATTTGGATGCGGACCTAATAATCTGTAAATAAAAATGTATATAGAAAATAGATATTTTTTTGGTAATTATTTAGAAAGCGGACTTCCTCACCGATTTCAATGAGTTTGAAATATGTTGTTAAGGACGTTATTCTGAACAACTTTTCCCTATACATGTTGCCGCCAGTCGGCTTTAGTTTTTGAGTTATGAACAAAAGAAGTTTCATAATTGAATACTTGTTTTGATATATATGTACAAAAGGTCACCCAAATGAGCTTGACATGTTCTTTGTCAAGGACATCTTCCTGAGTAACAATCAAAAGGTTTTAGCCGTCGCTCGTTGTTTATTAAAAAGTTAATAACAAAAACAGTTTTATAAATAAACTCTTATTTTTCGATTCCATGTACATTTTTTGTGTGTTGTAAGTGTTTAGGCAGAGGGGGCTACGCCCCCCCGCAGGGGGAGGGGCTTCGCTCCTTCCCCCTGCTCCCCCCTTCGTGTTTTGCGTGTATATTATCTTGTGTTTATATTGAAATTTTTTTTCTGAATCCAATATTCCACAATAATAAATTATAAAACATATAGGTTTGGACAACGATGATTTATAATTGAAACTTTTTTTGGTAATTTCGACATGAAGCGAATGTAATCGGAAGTCGTATTCGTTAATTAAATTCTTCATTTTTTCTTGACGGTGGGAGCAGGGGGGAGGGGCGAAGCCCCTCCTCCTGCGGGGAGCGTAGCCCCTTCTGCCTACACGTGTCATACAAAGAACATATTAACTTAAGAAATTGACACAATGTTGGAAAATTAGTATTCAATTATGAAACTTTTTTTGTTTATAACTCGAAAACTAAAGCCGACCGGCGGTAACATGTATAGGGAAAAGTTGTTCAGAATAACGTCCTTAACAATATATTTCAAGCTCATTGAAATCGGTGAGGAAGTCCGCTTTCTAAATAATTACCGAAAATACTAGTATACAATAGGAAAATAATATAATTTCTACATATCATTCTTATTGATATACAAGTTTAATTACTTAGGTGTAATAAGATCGATAACTTCTTCGTCCAGCCATTCAACGAGTCTCATGATATCATGAGGATCATGAGGAGAATCGTAGATACGTTCGCCAAGTTCGTCTTGATCGACGTGGCAATAAGCCGTACTTAAATGTACAAAACTTTGCAAGTGCTTCATTTGTTTTGCCAATTTTAGTACTCTGTGCGTACCCATCTTTTGAAATTAAAGTAAACATGTCATATATATATACTCACTTTATTACAAAAAATATAAAAACTTTGCAGTTTAAAGTTATATATCGTCAATAGCAATTATCTATTTATATATTAATTTCTTGGACACACACATTTAATTATTTTAATATTTTTTATAGAAAACTTAAAACTACTGAAAAGAGAATAAACAAAAACTAGAAATAATAGTAACACCGTGCTGCCACAAAATACTGATATTTATGATAGCTATAATAATGTGTTTACCGTGTTTATTTCGATAGCGTCTTTCAATTTCTCCTTCATTCTAACACTCGCGGCTAAATGAAATATTACGTTCACTTCCTTTATCAGACACTCGTGCTGCACGGTAGTAAGACCTAAATTATCTGATAATATATCGCCATTTAGTGGTATTATTTTCTTAAAATTCTGAGGTTTCTGTTCCTGTAGTCTTCGAAATAACTGTAAAAATATAAGGTAAACAAAACAGTGCAATTAATAAGTATATATAAATAATTTTGAAGGTGTTTTAAAAAATATATTTATACAAAACAATAAGATCAATTTAAAAATACCAAAACCTCGTTTTTGAATATCTGATAATTGTAATTGTAAGACATTTATAACTTTTTTTGTTTTAAAGTAATTTTGTGCAAAATTTGTCCTTTAAATATATATCTACTTTATATATAAAAGCAATATCTTACTGGTGTGTTGAACATATCCTTAAATCGATCCTCCCAACTGCCTTTCTTGTCTCGTATGAGGATATAGATTTTACTGAGATCAGAGCAGCTGTATAGTAATTTTTCAATGAGAACTTTGCCCATGAAACCGGAGGCGCCGGTAATAAAAATGATCTTATCCTTGTAGAAAGACTGAATTTCAGATCTCGGTTCGTCCATAATCTTGAATTGTCACAAGAGTTTTTTGTGTATGTTATGTATATATTGTGGTCTGTTTTTTCGACGATTCCGAGACTAGTGACTAACAAGACCAGGGATCGGAACCACGTGCTATTCTGCGTTAAAAAAAATAACCAAAGATTAAAGAAAATAACTAAAACATACTATTTTTGCAGAATCTTTTTTCCGAAAGCTAACAAATTCTAAAAACATTCTTTTTTTCCACAAATTTAATGTTTTCAGTTTGTCTTTGTAAATTTTATTTTTTTAATTATTTATGGTTTTAAAATATATATAAAAAATATGTATATATAATGTCATGAAAATTAGAAAATATTATATTAAAAAATTATTTTTGACTCACAATCTTTCTAGTATAACATTTATTTTTGCAAATAACTTAGGTAAAATTACAAACAGTAAGAGACTACTACGAGAATAGTGTATTCATACAAAGAAAAATATAATATTGTTGCCGCAACAAATTTATCATTGCTATTACATTTTCGTAATAGCAGAGAAACGTTTTTTTCTATAACTAAAGTTTTATGTTATTTGATACTAAGGTAAATGTCCCAGTGATTAAATGTGTCCCAGTACTTAAACACTTGAATTTTCATTTCTATTAAACTATTTTACTCATATTTACAATAATCAAAAGTTTTATTAATATTTTTAATTGTATTATTATTAAAACATTGTAATAAAAGTTTTCTAAACAGTAGATGTGATAAAGAAAAAAATAGTTTTTGAAAGTAGTAGCAAATTTATTGCGTTTTCAACTCTTACGTTAGCGGTTTGCGTAAGACAAAGTATATTCTTCTTAAGGTTATAATTAAATACACAAAATAAACTTTTTGTTCAGCAAAAAGATTTTTCAAACTCAGTATAGACTATAGATTGATAAAAAACTTTGTTCTATCTTTAATTTTTAGTTATAATAATTAAATTATCGTGTTTATGTATCTGGTACGAGAATTCGCCGGTGGCGGAGTTGTTAAACACTTGATTCATCATAGCGTAGTTAGTCTTGCATACACGTATTGAGTGATATTTGTGCGACAAAACATAATTTGCAACAAATCAGTAAGTAGTTTTGTGTTTTCATGGTTTCATTTTATCTAAACGTACTAAAATAATAATATTTTAACTAAAATATTTAAATATTATATGATAAAGTAGATAACTTGTTTTCATAACCTTATCGAAAGGTTATGAAACTCTAAGTAAACTCTAGTTTTGTAAAATCTTCAAATTTTTTAGTGATTTGTAATAAATCTATAACTTTTCATGGAATAAAATGCATGAATAAGTTTCCTGTTCTATATTGTCGTGTTAATAATAGCGTTTAAGTACTGGGACAAGATAGTTTAAGTATTGGGACAAGTTAGAAAACCTGTTTAAGCACTGGGTCATAGCAGGTATGTTAAAATTCGATTAATTTACTTTGTTTTTCTTTATAAACCAGCTCTTTAAAGTTTTATTTAGTGAAAATATAGTCTGGTTTTTTAAATAAATACTAATACTCACCAACAAAAGTTAAATTATACGAGTATGATTTGTATAAGTTAAACAGCTCTCTTAAACGTTTAAGTATTGTGACATTTACCTTAGTAGAGAATCATATGTACGCGTACATTATTGCTTTTTTATTATTATCTTAAACATATTCTTGATATAATATTATGGAAATAATATTTTGCTATTTATACAGAATCTGAAACAAATATTATCTCAGAAAGTACTCGAGAAAAGCAAGTGTTATCGTTATTTAAAAAAAAATGGTCAACTTACTGAACATCTTCGTAATTGCATTGCAGATTTTATCTATCGAGTTTGCTAGGGACATTAATATAAAATATGTTTTTAATATTATTCTTTTAAACATTAAACTGTAATATTATATACAAAATATTATTTTTTCAGAATCAATGCCAATCGATTAATTTTTATACCTGAGCATGTTGTTAAACTATTTCCCAGCAAAGATACATTAAGATTTTAAAGTTTAAAATTTGATTTTTATTTTTAATATATTTGACTCAGTAAAAATTTTAATTTACTTTACATTTCGAGTTTCTTTAATGTCAGAGGAAAAATAGGTCGTGAGAATCAAAATGAAAATACGCGACACTCTATGTAATTTGAATAAAAGATTAACAATAAATATATTCTTGAGCCTTAATTGGTAATACAAGATGAAAGAAACAATGTTCGGAGTCCGTCGATGGACTAGCTAAGATATTTCGGAGATCCGTATGCAATTTTTTTTATTCTAGAACTCGATTGTTACAGACAGAATTACAGTAATTTCGTGTCGCCGTTCAAGGTTAACAGATGTGGCGAGATTCTTGTTTTTATGAACAGGCGCCGAAATTGTGTCAGACAAGCATCTCGATTGCGTCAAAGGCTTGGTAGAATTTTTGGCACATCAAATCAACAACCTGCTCAAACAACACACGTCGGATCAGCCGCTTACATAATAGTGAAGCGGCCGCACGCGTTAAACGCTATGTCACAAAAGATATCTCAACTTTTTGGTTATTCGCAGTACAATTGTACAAAATTGCCGCCGCTATTTGCGTCCGATAAAACCTGAGTTTTTTAACTCGATCAGTCCGATAACACCTATTCCGAGAAAATGTTTTCGACGACCCTCGTCTAGCAAAATATAAGAAAGTAGACAGCATCTGCGTTTGTGTATGGATCCTCGCAGGGTAAATACGAAAATCTTAGCGCGATAACTGTCACGAGGTCCGCAGAGTTCGATAGGGTGGTAAGCCGCAGAGACTAACTACACACGCGTTACTATCTAAGTTAATCAATCAGGTGCGACCCTCCAGAACAAATTATTCACAAGTGGTTGTGAGTTGAGCGGGGTTTTTCTCGCGTTCTTCGTATGTACCATCAGGGACCGCGCGTGCTTTTTGCCAAATCGACTTGATCCGCGATCAAGACCAAATAACAAAATTCTCTTTTGTTATTTGGCCTAACAGGAAATGCGACGGCCCGGAAAGCCCGGAGATTCCAGGTTCGACTCCTGGCTGGAGGAGTTTTTTTCGTAATATTTTAAATTAGTTTGGGGAGGTATTCGGAGTCCTTCATATACGTGATGCAAATCTAGCATCCTATATGAATTGAAGAATTAAGAGGGGCCTGGACCGTCCTGTTATTACCGATCGAAATAATTCGTATTAAGAGGTGTTTTTCGTAATTATTGCTCGGATAGAAAAACGGCTCTACAGAATTAAAGAAAATAATAAAATGTATTTCGGAGACTTTTCAATATATCAAAAATGTAACAA